GCTAAAAATAAACAAAAAAAAAAAAAAAAGATTAAAACCCGAACGAGTTAATTACGATCTTAATGCCTGGTGTAACATATGCATGTTACATACGAAATATCTGCTTTCTATTAAGAGATTTGTAATTCTAATTGGTCACAGATTATTGTATATTCATAACGCATCTACATGTTATTTGCAAGCACTTATGCGAATGCCTGATATATTTGTTACAAGCCCCTCTGTTTTTTTTCTTTTTTTACCTTATCGTAGAATTTCGTTTCCATAATCCGAGTATCAACACGGAACGGGGAACCGTAGAAAATTTGTTTCACTAACCGTAAGCATGCACTCTGTTTCTAATATAATTTACCAAGCGAATTATTCGCATAGAAATCCAAAATGATTGGATGCTGATCCCACGAGTGTTTAATCTGAAGAACGTTTCAAAAACTTTCATTTATCACGGCATTTTCGACATATTCCGACATTTTCATCGAAAAAAAAACGGACAAACAAACGAACAAAAAAAAAAAAAAAAAACGTACCAAATTTTTCTATCAACGAATCTCGTAAAATTTTCAACCCAATTGAGCCGCGAAAAATGAACGAATTTTTTTTTTTTTTACCCTCAACTTTCCGGTATTTTCATAACCATTGTCGATCCAGTCCATCTGAAAATACGTAATTTCCACTGCTCACTACTACTCCTGTTCGCGTGTTGTGCGAAATCCTCCGACAGAAAAGAAAGGAAACCTTGGTCAGACAACACTTGCACGAAACGAGGAAATTTTTTTCACGATCGTTTCACCAACGACATCGTGGTTTAAAGAAAATAGGAAAGCTGAAATGAGACGAAACCAACTTCCCGACAAGTGCAAACGATCTGACCTCCCGCGTTAAAATGTAAATCGCTTAGTTACACGCTCGGGCAACGAAATTCCAGCATTGAGAAAAATAGAAAGAAGAAAAAAAATACTCGCTATTGTCCGACCAGAGTCACGAGTATTCTCCTAATTATCGTCAGTCGATAAACGCTAGCAACGTTCGCGTGATCTTTAACCGCGACATCGCGACCGGTGGATCACCGGCGGATATATCGTTTCAGCGGATCTGAATTTTTGATTGTCGAATAATGTCCTCGAGAGAGGACATCCGTCCTGGGATAAGTCGCTGGAAAGATAACGCGCGCGGTCTGAATTACGATCGTTAATTACGACGTGATCACGTCACGCCTCGTGATTCCAGCAACAGCTGTCCGGTCGCTTCTTCCTGGAAGCACCGAGGAGAAGAACGTTCCCGAAGAAACTGGACAAATTCTTGGGCAATGCCCCTTTCACAGCTAGTGTCACGGATCGAAATGAACAGATCCTTTTCGTTTTCGAAAGAAATTCGTATAATTATCGTAGGGATATAATATAAAGAATAAAAAATTATAAATTCGTATAATTATCGTAAGGCTATAATATAAATAATAAAAATTATAAATTCGTATAATTATCGTGGGGATATAATATAAATAATGTTTATTCCATGAAAATTATGACAATAGAATTACTTTAAAAAAAACTCGAGTTAACGAGTCAAGTAAATTCTTTTCAACGACACAACTGACACTTTTTAACAGTTCTCTTTCGACGCTCTCTCACGACTCTGGTCTTTTAAAAAAAAAAAGAAAAGTGCTCTTGTGGTTACGTTGGACTTCTCACATCATATTCATATTTTATCACATTTCTATGATCGACAAACAGGAGACCAGCTGTTATATTTAAACGTAATTAAAATTAGGTTAATTATAACAATCGACAACCGATAATAACAGATACTACATTATTTTAATACATATATAATAAAATCTATATTACATTAAACAATAAATAATTTATTATGATAATTATAATAAATAATCTATATTATATTATATATATAATATATAAAATAATTATTTTAATAAATATATAATGAATATCTCTTATGAAAAAGTATCTGTTTTCGTGGAATTTTTATAGAAAGAAGTGTCCCACACTTTTTAGAAGAACTTTTGAACAGGAGCGTTCTCACGGAGCAGATATTTTAGAATCTGTACAGCAAAAGTTATTTTGGAACGATCAGTTGATAATTCGTTTTTAAATATTGTACTGTTCGTTCTTATGAATATCGACGAACAAATTATCGACTCTTCCGACAGGAGAATTTTTGTTTACACATTTCACACTGTTCTACTCTGTCGGAAATTTTTATTTTTAAGAACCTATTCTCATCGAGAATATTTCTCAAAAATGCTTCAAATAGAATCTGTTTAAAAGTTCTTGGTTGATAAACTAGCTTGTAGAAGTGTTTAAATATTATTGCCTTTATGTTGATATGTGTAACATACACATACGCGGATTAAATTGTTATAGAAATGTTTCGAAAAATTGATGATATTTAAATTGTTATAATTCCGTAAAAAAAAAAAATCATACAGTTCGTTTCAAAGCGTGAACTTTAATCTTAATTCTGAAAAATTCACTTTTCATCAAAAATTTTCTATGACATGATCGAAAGATCGAACAATTCTTTCCAAGACTGAATTTACCATGAACTTGAATAAATTCTTCAAGACTTTCAAAAGTATTTAAAGTGCATTTCTCCGATAATAATCGAAATCTTTCCGAGTGATAATTGTTTTCTCGAAACTTCAACACCAATTTTTACAATAAAATCACCTAAAAACGAAACTCATAACGACAATTAATAATTATAAACGAACAATCTTAACGTTCCGTCGTTCTCGTTGTTGCAAGTCTTCCATTCACCATTTCCTACCAAAATTTACTCAACGCGCAATTTAACGTGAAATCTAACAAAACTTTCCTCCCATCGTCGGGCCTCTTTCTCTCGCCAGTTTCGAAATCTCGTACCGTCCGTTCCACCTCGGAATATTAAATGTGAAAATTAAATAGATTATTTCACGGACAAAGCGCGAAGGGCAGCGAAGTAAATTAACGAGGAATAAATTCCTCGGCGCGATACAATGGCCCGGCGCGTTAAAGCGACCTGAAAACCTCCCCATTCGCGCAACGATCCAACGAACAATTCTATTTGAAACTCCTTGCGGAATTGCTTTTAAAAGCAAAGCAGAGATCCAAATATCGGGCAAGAAACTCGTTTCGGCCGGGCCTCAAATTAGTTTCCACCGAGCAACCGGCAAAACGAAATCAAAGATTCCGTTGCGTTCCCCTCTCTCCTATCTAACGACCCATTAAAACCTGTGCATCGACAAACTTCCCGAAACTCCAATTAAAAACGACGCCCGGCGAATCATCAATCACCGACGACACCGTGCAACGATCGAACTCGTAAAAAAATTTTCAGCTATATATATATACGCGTAAGCTGCAGGTCCGTTTTGCAAGTCCGCTGTTCTCCGATGGAATTTCTGAAGTTGGCAGAATTGTGGTGGTAAAAAGTAATTCTGACTAAATTCGAAGTTTAAACGTACACGAATTTTCGTGTTATCAAACTAATCTAATGTGTCACTTTTATTGTTTCGTAAATAAATATATATTTCATATATTATTTCATATATATTTCATATATTTTCATATACTTTCGTATATTATTTTATATATTTTCATATATATTTCATATATTTTCATATACTTTCGTATATTATTTTATATATTTTCATATATTTTCGTATATTATTTCATAATAAATAAATAAATATATATATATATATATATATCTTCAGTGTATGATATATCCTTCTCGAGATATTTTCGTTTTTCTTAATTTATATATATTACCTTATATATATATATATATATATATATATATATATATATATATATATATATATATATATAGGTAAATTAAGAAAAACGAAAATATCTCTTATAAATTTATAAATTAAATTTATAAAACTTATAATAATTAATTAGTAATTTTATTAAATTTATATATATATATATATATAGGTAAATTAAGAAAAGCGAAAATACCTCGAGAAAAATATATCATACACTGAAGATACTTTAAAAATGAAATTCAGTACAGTGCAAAAGTTTTTTTATAAGTGACGAGCAAAACTGAACACACATGTGGATTTTCAGCATTGATTTTATCGAGTGTTTGCATGTAGAATACAAAAAAAAAGCAATGTATGTAATGTTCTGCAGGATGTTCTGGCTTTTCAAAAAAGATTTCATGATCTTGTTATTATCGCTATTCTGTCAGATATAAATTGCCTTCTAGTGAAGCTAGTTTTGCACCACACAATTGATTTAAATGAAGAATTGTTACTTTAAACTATTCTAACTTCGTTAAAGAAAGATCGTGCAATAATCTACTTAAAATTAGTCTCGTATTTTAAAACGTAGAGCTTCTGTTTTCACTATCCTGGATTCGTTCCAAGATATTTTGACACCATGTAGCAAGTAGAAAAATGTTCTTCTCTTCGAAAAAAAAAAATTGTAAAAATTCACACACTGAATAGTTTTATTTATGACTAAATCCATCACAATCTTGAGGATTAAAGTTTCCCGTTTACAGCTCCCTAAAATTTGTTGTACAATTGTTTTTTATCAATTTGAAATATTAGGGTTGGATGATGAAATGTTAGAAATTCTTGAATTTTTGTTGTTTAATCCTAATATTCAAAATGATAAAGAAAAAATCGTGCAAGTTTTAAAGAGTCACTATAAAGGTAATGTTCAAGATTATAGTATACCTAATTGCAAGAAAAATTTTGTAATGTTTTCGAGCTTTTACAATTTTCGAGAAGAAAACTCTTACTTCGAAAGAAAAAAGAAGTAATTCACGATTATCAAGATAGAAGCTTAGCACTTTAAAATGAGATCAATTGAATTATATAATTTTTTATTACAAACTTATTAAATTGTCGATAATTTTTCATTGTCTTTGGTACAGTAGCCCTCTTCACTTCAACAAAGATATTACACGTTACAATAAAAGTGTACGAGCACTTTTGCCAAACGACTGTACCAAATTGTGCATAACAACGATAATGGACTCACCATTTTCCGATTTCGGTGGCACGGGTTCGATTTTCACGGAAGTGGTGGTGGCATGAAGGGAAGTTGAGACTTCAGCAACTTGACAAGGCACCGAAGCCAAAGGTTCCCTCTTCACCAAATTGCTACTCGCATTGTTATTGCTATTGCAATTTGCATCCTGCCCGTTCCAAGACGAGGCGACTGGCAACGTTCTGCTGCAGCCTGCATCCGAATGCACTGCCTTTGTCTTTCCTAAAATTCGCAAAAACGATCGATTGTAGTCAGAGATCCTCTCGCTCTCACTACTTTTTGAAAGACGAATCTTTCGTTTAAATATACGAAAACACAAATATACAATATCTGTACAGTCTGGTAATCACGATAGCAGAAAATTTAATGAAACAAACGAAAATTAACACCAGAGTTACACACAAAAATCCAAAAATTTCCATCAGAAACATTAAAGTAAAAAAAAAAAAGAGAAAAAATGATGAAACTTTATAATACAATAGAGCGCACAAGCTTCTATTTACACAGTTTACGAAAAATTATTAAAAAATTTCTAGAAATACATTGTTTCATGTTTCTGTAAAATTATAAATTGGTCATAATTTCGATCACTTCGATAGTTCCAGAGAAATTTGTTTCGTGTGTTGAGTACGTCTATAACTATTCTGCATACTTATTGTACTTTTAAATTCCTTGCAACATTCACAGTCCACTTTCACAGCGAATCTTTTTACTCTGATAACGATCATTTAAAATTCTGCTAATTGAATCGAGAACTCTCGCTGATAAAATGCCAGATTGTGGATAGGTTGCTTCTATGTTACAATTTTGCATCGATGTTTCATTGAAGTAATTTCACCAGTTGAAAAGTGAAATTCAAAAGGCACGCGACGACAATAATTGTGCAAGTTATTTGTTTTTAGTTTATTGTAACGATAATAACCATGAAAATGTTAACATTAATTTGTAGTTTTGCCACTTTTATTTAAAATATTGAATGAAAATATTAAAATTATTGAAAATATTAAAATTTTAGAGCTTGGAGAAATAACTGTTAAGAAACAAGTACTATGTTAAGAAACAAGGACCAAGTATTATATCAAGTGATAAGATCGATTACCTATCAATCTAATATGCATATCGATAAAAAAAATATTATACAAGTGTTGTACAAAATATGGAAATTCTGTTTTAAAAATGTCTGCAGAATTAATTGACAACTCGAATATGAATTTTTATGCATCTGTGGAATATCCTGAATAATATGCGCGTAACATAAAATAACTAAAGTAATAATACTTTCTACAATATTTCATACATGAAACGATTCAAGTGCTTTTTATATACAGTTTTGAAAAGTTTTGAGTTTGCATAAAATTATGAAAACGGAAAGAAAAATATTGTTGGTCAATATCATTCAATATCTTCCTATTAATACAATGCAACAGACACTCAGACTCCAAATTGTAATACTTCGTACATAAAACTTAATTCAAGTTCCTTTTTATATAAATAAAATATAAACTTGCATAAAAATTCTTTAAAAAAAGCAAATGATACTTGACCAACAATATTTTTCACTTCTTTTCTTATCACACTCTGAAAGATATAAATTTACGTAAGAATCTCTATTAAAAAAAAAGAGAGATTATATCTTCCTATTAAAATGACAGAATAGATACTTAATCTTTTCACGCCCTTGGCCACATATGCGGACGTAATTAATTAATTTACGTCCTATAAAAGTTACTTTCACTCGCGAAACCGTTACAAAAAAATAGTTGTTTCTTGAAATTCCGAAACGTGCACTTATTTAATTTATTTACCAAGAATAAAATGAAATTAAATTGAATTTCTTTCGAAAAGTCGTCCCTGAAGAGCTTAAACTCTGCGTGAACGTCCCTTTTTCGATTCAAACCTCTCCGTCCACTGATCCAAAAGAGAGAGAAAAAAAAAAAAGAAACAAAACGGAAGAAAACGAAAAATTCCAGCCTGACAATTTAACAACCATTTACTCGCACGACGGTGGCGCGCGCGTAAAGCACAATTCAACCGTCACAATAATATCCCACGCACACCAGCGCCATCCACTTCCGTTCCGTCAAATTTCCAGCAGGCGCCGCGTTTAAAAAACACTCGGCCGATCCTCTCGCTCGTCTCGCGATCGTCGAGACAAAAGGGATTCGCAACGAGGTCAATAGCTGCGTGAGTAACGCCGACATTAATTCCACGGGCAACGGTCGCTATCGCGGGGACCAGCGAGAAAAAGGGAGAAAAGGATGGAGAGGAGTGAAAGAAAGAGAAAGAGAGAGAGAGAGAAAAAGGGCGATCTTGATTTTATCGTTCGCCACGTGAACATTTACGCCAGCGAGCGAAACTCTGGACGTGCGAGGTTCACGTGAATAACGCGAATAACGGAGTATTTGGACTCTGGAATGTTTTACAATAATATTTGAATGACATTTTCGAGTGTATGCACTGGTGGATATTTAATTTTTGAATAAATGTAATTTCATTTTTTCTTCTTTTTTTTTTCGTGTGTGTATATTGTCGTTCAAAAATCTTAGTCGTAGATAACAGATTTTTTTAAATTTATCATTTAACTATTAACTTTATAATTTAAAACTTCACTCAGATTCTTCTATTGTATAAATTATTTTAAATTTTTATTAATTTTTTTAAATTTATCGTTTAACTGTTACTCTGTAATTTAAAACTTCACTCAGATTCTTCTGTTGTATAAATTATTTTAAATTTTTATTAATTTTTTTAAATTTATCGTTTAACTGTTACTCTGTAATTTAAAACTTCACTCAGATTCTTCTGTTGTATAAATTATTTTAAATTTTTATTAATTTTTTTAAATTTATCGTTTAACTGTTACTCTGTAATTTAAAACTTCACTCAGATTCTTATGTTGTATAAATTATTTTAAATTTTTATTAATTTTTTTAAATTTATCATTTAACTATTAACTCTATAATTTGAAACTTCACAGATTCTTCTGTTGTATAAATTATTTTAAATTTTTATTAATTTTTTTAAATTTATCATTTAACCATTAACTCTATAATTTGAAACTTCACGCAGATTCTTCTGTTGTATAAATTATTTTAAATTTTTATTAATTTTTTTAAATTTATCATTTAACTGTTACTCTGTAATTTAAAACTTCACTCAGATTTAAATTTATCATTTAACTCTGTAATTTAAAACTTCACTCTTCTGTTGTATAAATTGTCATGTTTCCAATTTCGAAACGAATATGGTATGTACTTGTTCTAGGAATTTTGACATTTTGAATTGATACTGGACATACTTCTTGCAACTACAATTTATAATTGTTTCGTTCTATAAAAAAAAAATTGAAAGAAGAACTTCTCTTTCCTAATTACAGTTACCGTCAGAAACGTTGCATTTTGAAACACTCGTTTAGTTTAATCTTAAAATCTGTGGACATTGTAAAAATTTGTAATGCTTGAGATATTTTAAGCATCATCTTTCGAATTATATTTTTCAATTATTCTGTTAATTTCGATGAATGACACAGATATATTCTCTTTCTCCCCAATTATTTAGAATTCTCTTTTTCGCATTTACACAAAATTTGAAAATCAGAAAAGATTATTAACTTCGATTCGAATTAATAGGTCTTTAAATAACCCTGCTTTAAATAATTATTCTTTCGGAACATTAATACCTATCATTTTCAACCAAAAAAAAAATTTTTTTCTTTTAAATTTTTTGACTACCAGTTTCAGAGTCGAATAGCTGCAGCAGCCAGTATTGTTTACGGGCACAAACGGTGCAAGAAAGAGACGCGAACGAGGAAAGGAGATGGAACAAGCAATACTGTCACGAAGCTGTAACCTATTTGCGCGTTAACTGGAATCCAGAACGCGTTTACCTGTTTGTCGCTAATCTGGTTACTCGTTATGCGTCGCGTCGCGGTGGAGCACGAGCGCAACTTGCCGCGAGGAACTCTCGGTGCCGCGTTAATTCGACAATTGAAGGATTTACCGAGGGAGTTTAACTCTCCGTCAAACGCGATATTAAGTATTTAAAGCGTCCGTGTTGCCGTTCAGCCAAATCGGTGGATTCTCGTCGATCCGTCGAGTTCGAGATTCGTAGAAATTGGAAGATCGATGAGACTTTCTCGCTTGTTTTCCTCTGCCCGGTCTATTCTGGGAGTGAGAGATTTTCAATTTCTTAAAATTTCACAAATAGACGTTAATTTCAATTAATTTCAGAAAATTAATTTCTACGATTGTTTATCTGAAAGTGCAAAATGTATAAGATATATGCCGCGATAATGTATAAGATAGATTATTCTCTTCCAGAGAAGAGTGTTAATTACAATTTCTGCAAAAAATGATTCATTCTGCGTCAGTTACAACGTTCCTGGGAATTCGAAAACGGATGAAGGTCCGCGACCTCTTCGTAAAATTGTAAAAATCTGAGTGGAAGAGTTGGAAGATGGAAATCTTTCTTTCGAGCTCTGTTTCTGTGATTTGGAACTCTTTGAATTTCACAAAATGATAAAATCCAAGTGGAAAGAATAATAAAAAAACGAAAGGAGTATTATAGGAATTCGTGAAAAAAATAAACAATGTATAATAATATATAATATAATAATATTACAGGAATTCGTTAAAAAAATAATTTCGAATTTCTTGATCCGGTTTTTGAGACTTTTTTTTCACCAAAGCTCTTTGAATTTCATCAAATTGTAAAATCCGAATTGTAAAATCCGGAGGACATAGTAACGAAAAAAAGAAAAAAGAAAATATCACGGTTATCCTTGAAATTATTCTTCTCAGCTATAATGTTAAAAAAATTCCACCTGAAAATATAATAGATCGAGAAAGCAATCTAAATCTGAATAAAAATAAATTGAAAACAAAAGACTGCAGTTCTTAATGAGTTAATTATATCAAATATTCAATGACACGTATCGTACGTTTTCTAAAATAATTATGAAAAAGTTTGTTCACGTTATTATCATGGTTAAGCGATCACAGCGACGTCAGTCAGTTCGGTGATATTTATTTTGTACTTCCAATTTATTTCTGACACGTCGTTTACGTCGATTTAACGAACGAACAATGAATTTCCATCGACGTTGTTTTTTTAATGAATTTAATATTTTATTCTAGCGAGTTAAACTCTATTTGCAACGATCGAGATCATCATTATGCTTATGGCAAATTGAAATTACGATGCTAGTAAATAACAGGCGTACG